CCCACGGTTGGTCCACGGTTGGTCCACGGTTGGCACACACGGTTGGTCTATGCAGCCCCCGCCCCGCTTCTATCACGTTCATCCCACCCCCCTCCCCCACTAGGTCCTTCTGACCTCTTACTTTCTCCCTCGAGTTTTGGCGAGAGAGGATAAGGGAAGAGGGGGGAGAGAGGATCAGGAGGGAAAAGGGGGTGGGGGGGGGGTAGGGAGAGGGAGAGAGAAGTGGGAAGGAGGGGAAGGGGGGGCTGTGTGTGTGAGTAGGGGAGTCGTGGTGCGTGCATTTCTTCATTTAGATTGAAAGATCTGGAGAGCCTTGGGGATTGTCTTATGCGCAATGATCTGGACTCTGGAGAGTCACTTCACCACTCGCCTGGTAGGGTAGTATCCCTCTAGCCATATAAGAGTGCGAATCAACAATGGAAAATCAGGGATCAGAAACGTTCATGAAGGGTATAGAATCCATGGTACCATATGGGTGAAAGCAGCGCATGAATGGATGGGTAAAACAAGTGAACTGCTACCCAAGTGCGCCACATGGCCGTCTGTCATTCCACACCGCCACTTCTGAATAAGCTTTCAGCTGTAGGGGGCCTAAGCACAGCCCTGGTGTGACCCAAGACGGGCACACACAGACAGCAGGTTTGGGAGTATTACACATCTAGCCAGCAGTTGTATCAATTCCTATTGGCCACTGCTGCAGTGAATTCCTCTTTCCTCTGAATCCCCTCCAGGCCGAGATCCAGGCAGGGAAGCAACAGCACCCCCAGCAGCACCCCCAGCAGCACCCCCAGCTGAATCCATCTCTTTGTGGTTGTCCCATGCCAAGATCACAAACATGTGGAGGCCTGTCAAACACCTAACCACTGGCCCTGTTCACCACTGTGGCCGTCAGCTCCTCGGACTCCCCTCCAAGCCGTGTCATCGACAAGGGAGCAGCAGCACCCCCAGCCACACCCCCAGTGGCAGAATCCATCTCTATGCGGTTGTCCCACGCAAAGCACACAAACATGGTGGCGACGACTGGCACAAAGACGAGCTTAAAGGAGAAGACTGTAATGAGGACGGCGAGAGCCACTGGGAGGAAGACGAAGATAGCTTGGATGGTGTCTGACTTGAGAAGGTGGCCGAAGAGAGGCAGCATGAGAATCGACTGTTGGGAGGGGTGTGGAGAGAGGGGAGGGGGGGGGGGGGGTAGAGAGTGGGTAAAGAGGGCAGCGGGAGAAGACGAGTGGGGATGACAAAAACAAAATAGGATGAGAAAGAGAGATGAGGAAGACAAAGTTGGCCTGGATGGTGTCTGCATTGAGGAGATGGCCAAAGAGAGGCAGCATGAGAATGGAGTAGGGAAAGGAAGGGGAAGGGGGGTTGGGGAGTGGAAGTACGGAGGTGAGAGGGGGTGGGGGGAAGACGAAGATGGCCTGGGTGGTGTCTGCCTTGCGGAGATGGCCATGGGGATAGACTGGGAGGGAAGGGAGGGATAGACTGGGAGAGGGGCGGTGTGGGGGTATGGAAGTGAACGGGAGGGACGAACAGAGAGGAAGGGAGACGGGAGGGGGTTGGATTGAAAGGATGGCGTGGATGGTGCCTAGACTGAGGAAATGGCTGGACGGAGGAAGCATTGAGAGGGGCTGAAGAGGAGGGGGAGGGACGAATAACAAGAGGAGGGAGGGTTAATAAAGGGGACAGAGACAGCTAATGCAGGGGACAGAGACAGCTTACAAAGAAGATGAAGAGAACGAAGGTGGCGATAGGGGAGATGATCCCCAGGATGCACTTGGCAGTGAAGTTGACAGCTAATGCAGGGGACAGGAACGGCTAATGCAGGGGACAGGGGCAGCTTACGAAGAAGATGAAGAGCACAAAGGTGGCGACGGTTGAGATGACCCCCAGGATGCACTTGGCAGTGAGGTTGACGGCGAGGGCCGACTTGAGGTGGTTGCGCAGCAGGGAGACAGACAGGGCCAGGGAACGGCGAGAGCCGTGGCCCGAGATGGCAGCCACCACCACCACGAGCCTGGAGAGAGGGGTGCGTGGGAGGAAGGAACGCGGACGGGGGGGGTAAGGTGGGAGGACGAGGGCAAGGGGCGGGGAGGGAGGGGGGGAAAAGTGGGGGAAAGGGGGGGAAAGGGGGGGGGAAAGGGGGGGAAAGGGGGGGGAAAGGGGGGGAAAGGGGGGGGAAAGGGGGGGGAAAGGGGGGGAAGGGGGGGAAGGGGGGGGGAAAGGGGGGGGAAAGGGGGGGGAAAGGGGGGGAAAGGGGGGGAAAGGGGGGGAAAGGGGGGGAAAGGGGGGAAAGGGGGGGGAAAGGGGGGAAAGGGGGGAAAGGGGGGAAAGGGGGGAAAGGGGGGGGAGGGGGGGGGGGGGAAAGGGGGGGAAAGGGGGGGAAAGGGGGGAAAGGGGGGGAAAGGGGGAAAGGGGGGAAAGGGGGAAAGGGGGGAAAGGGGGGGAAAGGGGGGAAAGGGGGGGAAAGGGGGGGAAAGGGGGGGGAAAGGGGGGGGAAGGGGGGAAAGGGGGGGAAGGTGGGGAAAGGGGGGGGGAAAGGGGGGGAAGGGGAGGGTGCGTGGAGAGGGAGGGCAGGGAATGGAAGCGCAGGGGGAAGCACAGCACAAGGCACTGATTGGCATAAAGGGGAGTCGGACAAAACAAGGACATGGGGGTAGCAGTCCCACGGCACGGAGCTTGACTCACCAGGTGAAGAAGTACGTGAAGATGAAGAGAGCGAATGCGATGGCGACACGTGGCACCACCACGATCGTCGTCATCCCCAGGAGAGAAATCACCAGGACATTAAGCAGGACGGATGCCACAGTAGCGAGGGTGAGAATGAAACTGACAAGGCAGATGGTTCCCATAGAGGAGGAATACGCCAGCTTGACAGCTCTAGCCACAATGTTCCATCGATCAACCAGAGCATCCCGATCAAACCACCCTCCTGCTTCTTCCTGCAAACTTCCCCCACTGCTGTTGCTGCTGCTGTTGCTGTTGCTGTTGCTGTTGCTGGGGTCTGACTCGGTTGACTGCATGTTACTGTAGACCTGCGCTACTGTAGCTGCAGCGATGAACTGAAGAGTCACGCCGATTTGATACGCCATCCAGATGCCTATAAAGAGGAAGATTACAGCGAGTGGAGAGAGCCAGTGCTGAACCGATATAGAGTCACTCCATAAGAGGCACCTCTCCTCCTGCGGGTGAAAGGGCGACTCGGGAGATCCGAATTGTGGGTCCTGCTGGGCGAGGAATCTGCAGGTAAAAAACAGCTCCACGAGGCTGGCTATAACGGGTACAAACAGGATGATGCAGAGGAAAGAGAAGATCGCAACCCCGACAATGAGACCCCGGGCTCGAGTCATCACAGCCTGGGACGCTCGGCCAATCACAGTGGCCGAAAGAGGGTGGTAATCTCTGCAGACCAGCAGCACTGCAAGCACGGCCAAACCATTAAGTAAGTCTGTTAGGAACATTTCGAGACCGAGTACCGAATTGGCATTAGGATCCCCTCCTTGCGGCACTGGCGGATTCGGATTTTCCGCTGGCGTTGCTACTGTAGCTTCCTGGAGCTTTCGCCTGCTGAGGTAAGCAGCAAGATGTCCAGCTGCCTTGGCAGTGACAGCGTGGATGTGAGATCCCTCTGCTGCTGACGTGGCAAGCAGGAAACGCGACATGGAGAAAGGAGCCGCAGATTGCAAGATACTCGCAGCGGATTGGCCGGAGCTGCTAGCTGCTGACGTGGATGCGGGTAAGGTCCCGGAAATTCCGGAAAATGAGGTCTGCGTAGGCTGCGGGGGAGCATCAGCCACCGCGGGAGACGGCGGGGAATCCGGCGGCGGATGCCGCGTGTGAAGCGCCATGAGGCTGTGAATGATGAAGAACGCGACGGCTATTCTGAGGCACCACTTGACGAGCTTAACGGACATCCTTCTAACGAAGACGAGAAAGACGAACATCGTCGGGAAGATCGACGCCATGGCGATCGCTAGCGCCGCGAGCGACTCCAGGGAGAAGAAATGGAGCGCGAAAGAGCGGAGCGACAGCAACGGTCGGATGAACCAGGTGAACTCCCTTAGGATGAAAACCGCTGCGCAGATTATGAAAGCGCCGACCCAAATCGGCTCGCGAATGGGACGCTCGGATTCGTTGAACACGGACGCGGAGGCGTCCAGATTCAGATGGCTGCTGGCGCCAAGACGGCCGCCGCTTTCGCCGCTTTCTTCGGAGAATTTCGCCATGCCTGACCTTCCAGAGAATCCTGAACTTCCCGAATGGCCTGAGTTTCCTCGATTCAACCCGCCGGTTTCCTCATCGTTATCTTCGTCGTCGTCGCGGCGAGAGACGAGCGGCTTGGTCATGGAATCGGCCTCTGTTTCGGCGTTCTTGCTGCTGCTGCTGCCGCTGCTGTTCATTTCTGCGGGGATAGGAGCTTTCGGCGGAATAAAGCTGCTCGACGCGGCGACGTCTTCGGGTAAACCAGCCATTTTTCGGCCGAGAAGATGCACGGACTAGCGTAATAAAAGTTGCGAAACCAGAGGTCGAGAATGAGAACTAGCGTAAGACGAAATCCGAGAAAATATGGACCTTCTTAAAGCGACCTACAAATACTCGCGCACGTAAGAGCTGCAGACGAAAACGGATAAAACTGCAACTTTTAGTACATATGCACTTCATCCACAGACGCCATGTCAGGGCGGAATTTGAGAGAAGGAGAACAGGTAGCAATGGGAGAATCTGGTCTGGACTCTGGAGATACAGAAAAGCTAACTCGGCAGAAAACGGATATTCCCGAGGACGGCAGCAAAAGCACAGAAAGAAACCTGGAGGTTGAATCTGTCACCACTTCTAAACGTATTTTACCAAAGCAGACCTCGTGAAACTTGCCGAAAGCACCCCTCTTGTGGTGTGTCCCAAGATTGCCTGGCAGCTGCGCTGGGGCTACAACCCGGTGGTGATTTTTCGTTATAGAGTTGCTACACGAACCTTTGCGCGGTATGCCATGCACTTATGCGATTCAAAATATAGATTTTTAGGCTCATGGAGTAAGGGTAAGGGAATGCGATCTTGGCCATGACCTTCCACATGTACAATGCATGTTATTGGAGGATATGAAGGCGCAAGAGGCATTCAGTAGCTACACCCAGCATCGGTGCATATTAAGGCACCAAACAATCACTAGTAAAATGGTACGAATAATTTTACCTTGCAACCCATTTCTTTAGCCTCCTCTCAATCCACATTAGGTAATATCACACACCGTAACGTGTGTCGTCAGATTATCAATCAGGGCTTGAACCCCACGTAGCTGCTGGGTCATCCCCCCTTGTGAGGTACCCCTTTCTGTGCGCCTGAAAGTGCACTCCCAGGAATTGAACCGGAGACGTCTGCTTCTCGCCCTCCTTAGCCCAGTCGTCAAAGTGGGTGTAGTGCATGGAAGAGGGGCACTTCATGCCGTCTTGCGGCCGGTACTTGAAAAACTGAGTGGGGGTCTGGGGGGAGGAGAGGGGGGAGGGGGAGTGATGAGCAGAGGGGAAGGGGAACGAGATGGGGGAGTTGGCTCATTGAAGTTAGTGTACTGCATAGATGCCAGGCATTTCATGCCATCCTGAGGCTGGTACTTGAAGAAATGAGTGGGGGTCTGAGGGGAGGGGGGGGGGGGGGGGGGTTGGAGTGAGGGGGAAAGGGGTAAGGGGCGTCAAGTGAAGTGTTCAGAGCAAATGTACTGCACAGATGATGGGCACCTCATGTCGTCTTGAGGCCAGTGTTTGACAAACTGCGTGGGGGTCTGCAAGGAGGGAGGAGAGGGGGGAGGGAGAAATTGAGGGGAAGGGGAAGGGGACAGAGGGGTCGACCCAACAGGTGAGTGTAGAGCATCAATACAGGACACTTCATCCTGTCTTGACATTGGTTGGGGGGGGGGGGGGGGGGGAGGGGGAGAAGGGGAGGGGGTTCCTGATATAATTCTGACTGCATTCTACTCTGGGAATACTAAATTGGCATACGGAGAAGCCATTACAGATTCTGAGGAGGAAAAAGCCTGAGAAAAGGCTCGTGAAAAATGTCTGGAGAATTTACAATGTCCTGTGTCGAGAACGTGTATCAGCTGGATAGACGGCTCTTATCACCTGTAGGGAGAAGCTCTTATCACCTTTAGGGAGGGGCTCTTATTACCTGTATGGAGAAGTTGTTATCGAAGACGCACCACCCCTCGTCCCACCAGTCCGTGGCATTGCACCACCGCGGCATGGCAAACGAATCAACGCGGAACTTAGGGGTGAACTTGCCCCTGATGCGCGCTGATCTCTCAGGGGTCACGCCACTCTCCTTGTCGAATATGCACTGTGGATGGGACGGGGGGGGGGGGGGAGGGGGGAAAGTATTGCTAGGGAGAAGGCATGGCAAACGAGTCGACCCGGAACTTGAGGGTGAAGTTGCCCCTGATGCGCGCTGATCTCTCAGGGGTCACGCCACTCTCCTTGTCGAATATGCACTGGGGGGAAGCAGAGGAGGGAGGGGAGGGAGACGCAGAAAGGGGGAGGCATGGCAAATGAGTCAACGCAGAAGTATGAGGTGAAATTGCCCAGCAGTCTGTGGCATTGCACTGCAGCGGCATGGCCTTGCGGAACTTGGGGGTGAAATTGCCCCTTGTGCGCGCTGGTTGTTCAGCGGTGACCCCAAAATCCTTGTTGATTACGAAAGGGAGGGATGCACTGGAAGACGAAGGGGAGGGATGCACTGGAAGACGAAGGGGAGGGATGCACTGGAAGACGAAGGGGAGGGATGCACTGGAAGACGAAGGGGAGGGATGCACTGGAAGACGAAGGGGAGGGATGCACTGGAAGACGAAGGGGAGGGATGCACTGGAAGACGAAGGGGAGGGATGCACTGGAAGACGAAGGGGAGGGATGCACTGGAAGACGAAGGGGAGGGATGCACTGGAAGACGAAGGGGAGGGATGCACTGGAAGACGAAGGGGAGGGATGCACTGGAAGACGAAGGGGAGGGATGCACTGGAAGACGAAGGGGAGGGATGCACTGGAAGACGAAGGGGAGGGATGCACTGGAAGACGAAGGGGAGGGATGCACTGGAAGAAGAAGGGGAGGGATGCACTGGAAAACGAAGGGGAGGGATGCACTGGAAGACGAAGGGGAGGGATGCACTGGAAGACGAAGGGGAGGGATGCACTGGAAGACGAAGGGGAGGGATGCACTGGAAAACGAAGGGGATGGAAGATTAAGAAGGGGAAGGAAGAGAGAGTGAGAAGGTAAGAGGCATGGAAAACGAGTCCATGCGGAACTTGGGGGTGAACTTCCCTCGGATGCATGCTGATCGCTCAGGTGGGTCTCCACTCTCCTTGTCAAATATGCACTGAGGAGGAGGGGAGGGGCGGAGTGAGACTAGCAACGAGAAAAACAGAGAGTGGAACTCTGAGATTCCACTCGTTGGCGAACGAGTCCCCACGGAACGAGTCCCCAGGGAACGAGGCCATGCGGAACGAGTCCACGAGGAACTTGGGTCAAGCTGATTCATGAGAATTCGCAAAAAGCAACTTGGGACTGAGCTTTCCCCCTATGTGAGCTGACCGCTCAGGCCTCATGCCTCTTTTTTTGTCAAGAAAGCACTGCATGGAGAGGAAGGACCGGAGGAGGCGGAGGGAGACATAGAGAGCAGAGAATGAATCACTCACAAGTGAGTCATCATGCCCATGGATTTAGAGTTCAACGCACACCTGGGGGTGCTGGGCTTATATCGTACCTGTGGGTGTAGATTCTGGGGGTTCTTCATCCAGCAGACTCTGTGTGTGTACCATCCGAGCACCACCATGTCGTTATAAGCACGCTCTGCTACAAGACGTGCGTCGCCAGGCTGGCCGTACAGAGTTGCTTCCTGGAGAGGGAAAATAAGGAAGGGAAAGTGAAAGAAAAAAGGAAAAAAAGCAACGAATGACCTTCATGAGTCATGAGGATACCAGGGGAGGGTGGGCTAATACGGGAGCAGAAAAGTATATTATCCACCTGGGAAATCTACCCTGGAAAGCACACGCCTGAGTACACACCTGAGCACCACCTGAGCACCACCTGAGCACCACCTGAGCACCACCTGAGCACCACCTGAGCACCACCTGAGCACCACCTGAGCACCACCTGAGCACCACCTGAGCACCACCTGAGCACCACCTGAGCACCACCTGAGCACCACCTGAGCACCACCTGAGCACCACCTGAGCACCACCTGAGCACCACCTGAGCACCACCTGAGCACCACCTGAGCACCACCTGAGCACCACCTGAGCACCACCTGAGCACACCTGAACGAAGAGCTGGAAGAAGTCGAGGAAGTCACAGAGGGCATCATACGTCCAGAAGGAGACGTGTGCGCTCACTGCTGTAGACGCGTACTGGCTGGGACCCGGGGCCCTTAGGCTGGAGGGGGTGAGAAGGGAATTAAGGGGGGTGAGAAGGGAATTAAGGGGGGTGAGAAGGGAATTAAGGGGGGTGAGAAGGGAATTAAGGGGGGTGAGAAGGGAATTAAGGGGGGTGAGAAGGGAATTAAGGGGGGTGAGAAGGGAATGAAGGGGGGAAAGAAGGGATGCGTAGGGGATAAGGCGAGAGGGTAGGAACACGTGTGCGAGCACTGCTGTAGGAACACGTGTGCGAGCACTGCTGTAGGAACACGTGTGCGAGCACTGCTGTGGAGGCGTACTGGCTGGGAGGGAGGACCCGGGGCCCTTAGGCTGAGAGAGGGTGACAACACAGATCGAAGGTAACAGGGGAGGGGAGGAAACAGGGGAGGCGATAAGAGGAGAGGGCAACATAGGTCCCATGACCCGCCCCGAGGGATACCAATTCAGCTGACACTTGTGGACGCGTACTGGCTGGGTTCTGAGAACTCTCAAAAACCAATTCAGCTGACAGCTGCGGACGCGTACTGGCGGGGCCGTGGGGCTCGCAGACTGGGGGAGAGAGGGACGGGGGGGGGGGGAGGGGATGATGGAATAGAATTCCTCTGGGTTCACACCCACACCCACAACCCGCATAAGGTATGCAGACAGCCATACCTGGGCCAGCGCTGCGACACTATGATATGCACCCTTGAGAAGAGGATGGTGGCCTGATCAGTGACGCTGGCAAAGAAAATTCCTCTGTGATCATATCCAGACGGTCACACCCACAGGCCGCACAAAGTGCGCAAGCAGCCATACCTGGGCCAGCGCTGCGAGACAACGATGTGGACCCGTGAGAAGAGCATGGTGGCGAGCTCAGTGACGTTGGCGAAGAGGATGACGTCAGAGTCGAGGAAGAAGATGCGCGGAAAGGCATGGCGCTCCATGAAGGCCTTCAGAATGAACCAGCGGACCTGAGGGTGGGGGGGGGGGGCAAGGTGGGATAAGGCTCGATATGAAAAAGAGTGGTGAGAGACGAAGATGGGCTGAAAGGTGTGGCGCTCCATGAACTCCTCGCCTTCGGTATGAACCAGCGGTTGGCAGAAACCCAGCCAACGACGTCCTGGTACCCAATGACCGGATCCAACACAATATCGAGCTCCCTGGCCATGTGCACACACCCGTCGCTGTCCGGCCCAATGAAGTAGAGCACGGCGCTGCGCTGCCTGGTTACCATCTAGCTCGCCTCGTACCCTACAATTCAACCCACCTGGTACGACACTGGGTTGCCCAAATTAGCAGAGAATCAGCCAAAGACATCCTTGTACTCAATGACGGGGTCCCGCGTGATATCAAGCTCCCTCGCCATCTCCACACACTCATCACTGTCCAGCCCAATCAAGCCGTGTGTTATGGTTTAGCAGAAAGAACTAGAACATACCTGGTAAGAGACAGGATCGCCCAGGTTGGCAGAGAACCAGCCCACCACGTCCTGGTACCCAATAACCGGGTCCAGCACAATATCAAGCTCCCTGGCCATCTCCACGCACTCGTCGCTGTCCGGCCCGATGAAGTACACCACGGCGTTGCGCTGCCTGGTGTGGCGCAGGTTGCGGTGCATGTAGTGCTTCGGGTGGCACGCCACGGAGCCCGAAGGCTGCTGGTGGATCACCACCACTGGCACGGGCTGGAGCCACAGTGAGAGAGGGGCGGGGAGGTGGAAGAGAGGGGAGGGGGAGGGTTGGAACTGTATTGCCTGGTGCGGCGCGGGTTGCCATGCATGTGGTGCGATGGATGGCAGGCGACGGAGCCTGCGGGTTGCTGGTTGATGACCACCACTGGGACGGGCTGGAGGGGGAAGAAGAGGTGCACGGGGAAAGAGATGAGGGGAGGAGAGAAAGAGGAAGGGATGCGTTGCCTGGCGTGGCGCAGGTTGCGGTGCATGTAGCGGGAGGGGCGGCAGGCGACAGAGCCCGAGGGCTGTTGGTGGATCACCACCACTGGGGCGGGCTGGAGGCACAGGGAGAGAGGGATCGGGAAGGGGTAGGGGAGACAACATGTGCAGTCTGCGTACAGTGCAGGTTGCAATGCATGGAGTGCTATGTTTATTAATGACAAGCCTGGTTTTTCAAGCCACCAGATATATACACCCACGTCACCTGATTTGTCCGCGTCAACTGATTTGTCCGCGTCACCTGATTTGTCCACGTCAACTGATTTGTCCGCGTCACCTGATTTGTCCACGTCAACTGATTTGTCCACGTCAACTGATTTATCCACATCACCTGATTTGTCCACGTCAACTGATTTATCCACGTCACCTGATTTTTCCACGTCATTCATGATCAGTCCTAGTCACCTGTTTCTTCCACGGCAGCTTGAGTGCGGTGCTGATGGCATCAGGCAGCTGGCGATTGAAAATATCTGACGTGAAATTCGCGGGCTGGAGGGGGGAGGGGAGAGCACGGGAGGGGGGAGAGAGGGAGGGGAGGAGGGGGGATTTGTGAGGTGACTCAGCGCTCGTTGCTGAGGGCAACTGACAGCTGAGGAGGACAGGACAGGTGAAAGCAGGGGAATGGGGAGAGGAGGAAAGGGAAGAGAATTTAAAAGTATCGGGACGTTTGGCAGAAATTATGCAGTTCTCTGCGGGTGCATGGGTCCTTCACAAGGGGACGGCTGGAAATAGAATAAAAAGGTACTTTGGAGTTTGCTTCAAATGTCTCTAAGGAAAAACTTACTGTTCGCCGCTTGTGCACGCGTCCTCTGGGAAAGGGGCAGCTGAACGGCAGCAGCCAGCAGCCGAGAGTGAGCCATCTGCAATAGGCCACGTGTGGCGTGGAGGGGGCGGATAAAGCGGTCGATGTAGATGCGGGTAATTATGTGGGTGGTGAGGAGAAGATGCGAGAGGTGAAGGGAAACGGGCAGGTGAAAGGCAGCAAGCAACAGCCAGGGTAAGTCAGCTGCAGTGCAGGTGGGGAAGGGCCTTGAGAGAGAGTGGACTGCGTACAGGGAACGTCATGTGGGACGGGGGAGAAGATGCGAGAGGTGAAGGGAAAGGGGCAGGTGAAAGGCAGCAAGCAACAGGCAACGGCTAGACATTAGGAGACATCCAGGAGGAAAAACATCACGTGTGAGTAAGAAGAATACACGCGTTGCTATTTGCAGCTGCTACCATATACAAGTGGTATTATCTGACGAGTCTAAAAAAGGCTGGGTTTTGATTAACTTCGACCGAGGCTGTAGCAAGTGCAATGATAAACCATTCCGTCTTAAAAACGGGACGACGAAACGGGACTCGTTTGGATGGTCGAGATGGATCCTACACGAATGTGATTGCAGCGAGGGCGACACCAAGTTGAATTCTTCGGTTTCGCGATCCGCCAGGTCCGCCGCTTCCGCCGCCGCTGATCACGGAAGTGAGGAACCGGCTGATTTGCGCTCGATAGTTGATCCCCCTGCCGCGCTTCGAGTGAGAATCTCCTAAAGACGCGTGCGAAGGCGAGCCGCCAGTTAGATGGATTGCCATGGCGCTAAGGTGTCTGCTTTTGAGTCGACTCAAACTAAACCTACTCTGCCATGGCGCTAAGGTGTGATTTTAAGACTGATGTGCTCGCCGAATCTAATCGCTAGCTAAAATCCCACCACAATTGAAGTGAAAAGTTCGGGTCCATATCTTAACCCTCTAATTAATCTTCCACGCTGTTATGTGGCTTGCAACCAGCCTCGATACTAGTTGGTGTTGACCAGGAAAGCATTTGAACATTCCTGGGAAGAGTACTGGTAGGTATGTTTGCTTGGTCGACGCAACAAAACGACTATGGTCTTGATGGGCGAAACACGCTGAAGAAGGCGAAGCACGTAAGCGGGTCTTCTGGTTTAGCTGTTTGGTATCGTAAGTACCAGTCCTAGAAGCTATGGCGTTGCTAACTACCACCTGCTGTGGTTGACTGAACTGAACCTTGGGATTTCCGAGGCACCTGAGGGACTCGATAAGAGATTGGAGGGACCGCGGGAAAATACGAAGTCATCCATGAACTGTTTTGATGCTTTCTCTAAGCATGACGGGAAAATAACCACAACGTTCGCACAAGAATGCTGAGGTTTGCATCATTCAGCCCAGAAATTGCTGAAACATAATCACATTTAGAAAGCTGGGCTGCAGAGAATTGGATGCAACTAAGGCTCTTTTTGTTGCTACACTAGACTCAGCAAGGTCCACAAAATGATGTCAAACATATTTGTATATGTTATAATATGCTAGATAGGTGCATGCTCTTGGAGGGTACAACACTTGCACAAAATCAGCATGTATGTCACATTCTAGTCAACTTTTCTACTCTGAGATGGTATCAGATTAGAAATGTTATGTCTCTCATGTATGCTGATGACTCCAGTGTGATTGGATCCTATAACCCGGTATTGCCTAGAGTAGGTGTGTCCACTCTGTGTAGTCTAGGCTCCCCTGCTGCGTCAGGCATAGGATCCCCTGCCTTGTTTAGCCTAGGCTCCACACTAGTCCCTCTGCAGGCAGCCGCTAGCGCTTCGCTCTCCTTCGCTCTCCTTCACACTTGACTCCGTTGTGCTTACATGCTTCTACCGCGACCATACTTCCCTTACGCCACTTGCCGCCCCTACCACAGTCGCCCTTGCAGACCCCTCCTCCGACCCCGTAGTTGCACGTAGCTCCATCACCCTTCCCTGTCCGGCGGCCCCCTCGGGCACTCTTACAGGCCTGCACATCCCCTCGTTCTCTAGGAACATAGTTGGTATCGGCTGTCTTCAGGACCTCGGCGTCACCACTACGTTCCCCTGACACGAGCGGTACGCGGTCTGTACCGAGACCGCCACTGGTGCTCCTCTGACCACGTTCCCCCGGGACCCTGTATCCGGCCTATTTACGCTTGACTCTGCGTCCCCCCCAGTGAGGGCGTCCCCCCAGGTAGCCGCGGCTTGCTCGTGTCGGTCGCTCACTCACCCGTCGCTGCTGTGGCACCACCGCCTAGGTCACCCTATGCTCCCACGTCTGCGTCACATGTCCTAGCACGGTCTTGTCCTAGGTCTTCTTGCGTCGCTCCCTTCCCTCCCTCCCTCGCCTGCGCCACCGTCACGCCCTTTGTTGAGGGCCGGCTGCATCGTGCTCCTCACTCTTCCTCGCTTCGCCCTGCCACCGCACCACTCCAGACCCTGCACCTGGACGTCTGGGGTCCAGCCCCCGTCCCTGGGCCGCGTCGAGAGCGCTACTTCCTGGTGCTTGTCGACGACTACACGCGCTACACCCCGGTGTTTCCTATGGAGTGGAAGGCCGACGTGCCTGACGTTCTTATCCCATGGGTCGTAGCTGCGCGAGTCCGCCGATGTCTCCCCGTGCTGTGTCTCCACTTCGATCGTAGTGGCGAGTTTGCCTCCGGTCAGCTTGGCCGTTTCTGTCATGCGGAGAGCATTACCCAGTTGTACATCCTGCAGTACTCCCCACAGCAGAATGGGGTCACTAAACGACGCATTGGCCTGGTCATGGAGGTGGCTCGTACCACCATGATCCATGCTGGTGCACCCCATTTTCTGTGGCCGTTCGCTGTACGCTACGCCGCTCGCCAGCTGAACCTGTGGCCCCACTCCCATCGACCGCAAGTTTCACCGACCCTTCTCTGGACCGGGTCTACTGGTTACGCGTCTAAGTTCCACGTCTTGGGATGGCTCGCTCACGTTCGTGCCTCTCGCACGGACAAACTCACTGCCCGCACTGTCCCCTGTGTCTTCTTTGGTTTCCCTCTTGACTCGTCTGACTGGCACTTTTACCACCCGTCGTCTCACCGCTTCCTTCACTCGTGTGACGTCACTTTCGACGAGTCTGTCTCCTTTTAACATCGCTCTCCCCACCGCGATCTCTCAGTTTCCCCACCCTTGTTTCTGCTTCCCACTCCCCCGGTAGCCCCTGCTCCCCTCCCTCCCCGTCCTACTTTATCTGGAGTCTCTTACGTCACTCCCCTCCTGTCGGTGGTCCCGGTCGAAGAGTCGACTGACTCTGGTGGCCCCGCGGCACGGTTCTTGCTGCCTGCCTCTCCCCCGGTATCCCCTCTCCCGTAGTCGTAGTCGCCGCCGCAGCCGTCGTCGCAGCCGCAGCAGCAGCAGTTGCCACCGCCGCAGCTGTCGTCGCAGTAGCAGCAGCAGTTCGTGGCCTCTTGGGGTGCTGGCGTTGAGGAGGGTCCTAGTCTTGGGGTTCCTGTCGTGGCTTGTCTCGGCGGGCTCGGGGGTGGCACCGTTGCTGGAGAGGGTTCTCGCTCAGGAGGTGCTTGCTCTGGGGGTGCTGGCGTGGAGTGTTATGGGAAAGCCGTGGTGCAGCTGGCAGTCCAGGTGTCTGCCCTTCGCCTGCTCTGCCTTCCCTCCCCTAACCGCTCGCCTGCGCCTCCCCCGCCGTCTACTCCTCTTCCTGTCTACGGTCCTGTGTTTCCTCCGCCGGACTCGTCCCCGGCTCGGTTCCCACTCCGTTCCCCTCCTATTACTCCTCCTCTGTCTCCTGACCCGACGCCTCCGTCTCACGTCTGGTTGCGCCACCCCTCTCGTGCTCGTCCTGTCTCTCCCGTTCAGCGCTCTCACCCGATGTTGCTTCGTTCCCACGCGTCTCGTCCTCACCTCCTCTCGTCTCCTCCTCCGTCGTCACTCGCTGTCGCGCCTCCCCCTTTGTCTGACTACCTTCGTACTACTCGTCCTCTTGTTCCTCGAGTCCTTGCCTCCCTCGTTACCGACCCGTCTGTTCCTGTCTCTAGTCTTGACGCTCTTGTCACTGCTGTCGCTGACTTCGCCTCTACTCGCCGCCTTAATTACGCCACAGCTCTGGTCTCTGGTCCTACCTGCCCTCCGTCCGTCGGGGGTGCTCCTGCCCTTGGCAATGACGTCATAGAGGACAGGCAGTACGAGCTTGCTTTCCCTTCAGAGGCTGCTCCCCATCTCTGTTCCATGCAGCTAGTCCCTGAGTGTGACCCAGCCGCATTTGACATCCCGACCCCTCGCACTTACGCTGAGGCGACCTCAGGACCATGGGCCTCTCAATGGATAGTTGCCATGGAGCAGGAAATGGCATCTTGGAGATCAACCGGCACCTACGTTGACGTAGTTCCCCCACCTGGGGTGAACGTAGTCGATGGCCGGTGGCTCTTCAAGGTGAAGCGCCCCCCTTGAGAGCCGCATGTGTTCAAGGCGCGCTACGTGGCTCGAGGCTTCAGTCAGCGCGAGGGGGTGGACTTCTTTCAGACCTTTGCCCCGACCCCGAAGATGACTACTGTTCGGGGGCTGCTACACGTAGCAGCACAGCGTGACTACGAGCTTTACTCTCTCGACTTCTCCACTGCTTTTCTGCAGGGCAACCTATACGAGCAGGTCTACCTGCGTCGTCCACAGGGCTTCACCGGTACCTTTCCGTCTGGGACCCAGTGGCTCCTCCGGCGCCCGGTCTACGGGCTGCGACAGGCGCCCGATGAGTGGCACGATACGTTGCGTGCTACGCTAGCTGACCTGCAGTTCTTTCGGTCCTCCGCAGACCCCTCGCTCTTCGTTCGTACTGGTCAGACTCCGTTCTATATTCTTGTCTACGTAGACGATCTGGTCTTCGCTACTGCAGACAGAGACGCACTGGCCTTTGTAAAGGATGAGCTGCTGAGGAGGCACACCTGCACTGACCTAGGAGAGTTGCGCCGCTACCTTGGCCTGCAGATCTCCAGGGACAGTGCAGCGCGCACCATCACTCTCACACAGTCACAGTTGGTGCGCCAGGTCCTTCAGAGTTTCAGTCTTCAGTTCTCCTCAACACAGCCTACACCTCTGCCGGTCTCGTACAGGTCTATCCGTTCGTCGTCAGTTGCTCAGTCCAGTTGCGAGGCTGGTATCTACGCTGGTGACATGGCGGCACAGGAGCTTCGCTGGCTGACTTTCTTGCTTACAGGCTTAGGTGAGCGGCCTAGCTGTGCCCCGGTTCTGTACGCTGACAACAGGGCTGTTGGGCTGAGAAATGCCCTTAGGATCTTTTCAGAGACTAAGTCCCAGTTGAAGATTAAGACTTGAGTAGTGCAGCGGAAGTTGAGGCAGTTGAACCCTTGTACTAGTATATGAGAACAAGTGATTTTTAAAGAAACAAGCATACAGCAATATATAGAAGATAAGAAAGCAGTTGTAGAGTACAGTTACAGGAACGGTTTATCGAGTCGCACAGCGACTCGATTGCCGCTTCGGTTACCATCCGTGATGTTGTAACGGTCAGTCGTAACTGTTAAGAACTTAGGATGCTAGGTCCCTAAAGTTAGGACACTAGCTTAGCTAGGATAGGAGCAAGGCCGCCATGGAACGGCGCTAGGAAAAACGGATCTAGGAGTAGGAGGAAAGTCGAGAAGAAAGAGTGTTGGATTAGAAAGAGAAGGGAGTACAAGGAGGGGTTTGTACCCCCTACAGAAAGGTTCAGTAGCAACCTACCAAGCCTATATAAAATTATAACTTATATAATTTTAACACACCCCCTAGGCTTGGTAGTGTCAAGCCCACTCACACCCCCACACCCGCACCCAACCCACCCCCTAACCCCGCACACCCTCAGGCTCGTGCTTAGCCGGGTATCTGACCCTCAGGCAAAGCGTTGACACACCCCCGTACACGAGGCAGCCGACGGCGTCTAGGCGGGTCAGCGACAAGCAGCCGCGGAGCTCTGGCTCAAGGCGGCTGGGTCGCCGACGACAGGCGGCGACTGCCGTGGCTGAGGGCTCTCGGCGATGTGGCAACGTCCGGGCAGAAGACAGCAGCTGCGACAGGAGGACGGGAAGACGCAGGGGGAAGGGAGAATGGGGGGGGGGGGGGGGGGGGGGGGGGGCGGGGCGAGTCTTCAGCGTCGCGCCATAAATGGCGCGGCGCTTACAGGCGGGACGACGGCGTCCTGGCAGGGGGC